TCATGACATGGGTGACACTGTGTGCGTTAAGGCGCAGCAGGGTGAAAGCTACAGGGGTTGTGGCCCCTGCTGCAGCCACAAAGCCTGCCAGCTGTCAAGGAGATCGGTGCAGGGAGGTTCTGGGGCCCTGCACCCCTAGCTGCTGACCGGCAAAACTCATGACATGGGTGCTTGTGTAACTGACTGTCTCTGTCTTGGGGCAGTTGATTGTCTGTATTGATTATTTACTCTCCTTAGTCTGCCTGTGGTTTTGTAGGTGTTAATCGTTGCTAATTAACTGATTACATTAGCTAACAACTGTGTATTGAGCTGGTCCCTGAGTGAATCATGATTGATTGCAAACTAGTAACACAGTAGCTTAGCAGCCAGGCATGCAGTAGTTCCCCCCCACTCCCTCCCCCTGCCCAGCCCCAAGACAGAGACAGTTGCACAAGCACTCATGTCACGAGTTTTGCCTGTCAGCAGCTAGGGGTACAGGGCCCCAGAAGCCCCCTGAACTGATCTCCTGAACAGCTGGCAGGCTTTGTGGCTGCAGCAGGGTCTAGCAACAAGGCCTGCAGTAGTTTCCACACCCTGTGCCCCAAGAACGACACAGGGGCACTTGTCTGCAGCTTGAGATGCAGTTCCCTCCAAACCCCTGCACTTATCTCCTTGAAACATGGCAGGCTTTATGGCCTCAGCAGGGGCTACCATCCCTGCAGTTTTCAGCCTGCTGCGCCTTACCACATACAGGGTCATCTATGTCATGAGTTTTGCCTGTCAGAAGCTGGAGGTGCAGTTCCCCCCAAACCCCTGCACCGATCTTCTTGAAACTTGGCAGGCTTTGTGGCATCACCAGGGGCCACTACCCCTGCAGTTTTCACCCCCCTGTGTTGTAATACATAGCCGTGACATGAGTTTTGCTTTCAAGAATTTGGGGTGCAGTTGCCCCCAAACCCCTACACCTATCACCTTGAAACATGTCACACTTTGTAGCCTTATCAAGGGCCACCACTCCTGAAACTTTCATTCACATCAGACAAAAAAAACCAAAGTTATAGATATTTCATTGATTCCCCATTATACCCTATGGCTGGATCCCCGAAGCGGCTCCGAAGCTTTTCTGAAGCACATTGGAAAGCCTAACAAAGACAGCATTTCAATCCAGACATGCTGCTTCAGATGCCGAAGCATCTAAAGCTTCTCCAGATCCGAAGTGGGGTCCAAAGCCTTTACCAAACCCTACTGTGTATCAATAAAATTTGCCTAATATCGAATGGAGAGGTCGTGGTTCACCTGAGGGTTTGGCTCTGCCTGGAACAAGGTATCTGGATCATAAATCCAGTGCCAACGATCATGAGTTTCAGTTATTGAATTTTATTAAATTCTCATTTCCAAAAGGCTTAGGATACACATAAAAATAAACTCAATATCATTACAACTCAATGTCATTCAAAAGAGGACCAAAATACCCATCCCCCACAAACAGTCATGTTGCCCCAACTCGTAAAGCATCCTTCAAGTTGTGATAGTCATTTTTTCACCTGTTTAATAAAAGAGTATTGATTTTTATTGATTTCCTGATAGTGTTAGTCCTTTTTAATAAGTATTCTAGAGATGCACTGAAGGGCATGAGATGGCTTGGGTGACTAATAACAGGATATAGACCCTTTCAGCACTGGTTCAGATAGGATCTATTTCAATATTAACCAGAAGTTCCTATTTTTTCATGGCAGCTCAACAGGAAAATGTTTTGGCAGTCTCAGTCCTCTTCCTAAGCAATCAGTGTTCACATAGGTAACAGAATAAATCCTTACTGCATTGGACAATAGCCTTTGAAGTCTCTGTGATGCACCCTCTGCCTGGACACAGCCTGGGCCTACCTTTGAGACATTTCTGGGGTACTTCTAAATATTTCAGGTGCCCTTCTGCCCCAAATCCCTCACTGCTGAGATGTGCTAGAGGCCAGCTCCTTGTCTTGTGGTGCCTCAGCTCTTCATATCTCTATTAGGCTTTGGTAGCCCTTAGCAAAGGGAATTTTGCCAGCTAGAAGGCTCACACCCTTGTCCAGTCATGCACTCAGAAAAGCTGGATCCCCTTTCCCATGTAATAGGCTAGCTTGTCTGGTCAGATACTCTGGAATCACAAACATCACCGACAATACGTGGTTTGTAAAAAGAAAACAAAAAGGATTTATTATAAAAAACCAAAAACAAAACAAGAACCGACATAAGAAATCAGTAACCGTATGCTGAGATACAGACAGAGATATAAGAGTAAGCACACAAAAGAAAATATCAGAACAATAACCTGTGCTTATCCTGCACCTTAAATGCAAGGATGCAGTCCCTAGCCAGCTACAACAGCCTAAAAAGCTGGCCCTGCCCCTGGCTGTTCTCTCGAGGCCTCCTGAAAGTTTTACTTTTCTCAGTCTCCTTTGGCTGAGGGACAGTATCCCCAACCGTACCTGGGAAGACTGAAGACAAGCCATGCTCTCCAAACAAGCTTAAATACAGTTGCCACTCTGACTGGTCATATACATCACCTCTTCAATTCTAGCGGGGCTCACACAATGCCAGTAACTTTTTGCCCCCCAAAGGTGCATGAGCTGCTCTAATTAACGTGCCTGCAGCATCTCATATATTCAGTATCCCATATTTCAAAATAGCAGTGTCACACTTTAACTAAAGCTGGTTTGACGAGCTTTAGTTAGAGCCCGCACCGCCATTTTGAAGCATGGGGACAATGAATACATGAGACATGGTAGCTGCTGGAGCATGCTGATTAGCACGCTGCAGCAGCCTTGCTTAATTGAGTCTACTCTGACACGCTGTAATTAGAGCATGTTGGAGCAGGTGTCCAGCACATCTACAGGCACCCATTTAGACCAGGAGAATATGTATATCCTTTCAGATATGGAGATTCATTCACCCAATAAACTGTCTCTTTCCCCAGTAGATTGACTACCTATGTGTCAAACTTCTTTTAAAATGTAAATTCAAGGGAGATAGTAAACAGCTCAAGTCAAATGCTGATCCTAAACCATTATAGTTCTTCATAGTGTGAATATTTGAGGACAACTTAAATAAGTAGCTGGCTCACTAAAGCAGCCTTGGCTATAACTTAAATATATATCAATATTACATTTATATCAAGTACTACAATGCATAGAAGCAGAAAGATGCTTGACATTATTTATATGTAGAGTACACTTGCCATATTAGTAAAATAAACTTAAGAAATCATGCAAAATACCCCACAAACCCCAAATTCATGACAGTCTTATTGAAAAGTTGAAGAACTTTAATGTTGTAGGGATGAAACTACCACTTTTAACCACTAAGGTCAGAGGCGGAATTATTATCAGAAGGGGTGTCTGGAAATGTGCATCCCACATCCCCATTGATGGCACTGTATTCACAACCCAACCCCAATACCTGGTTCCAGGCAAGCACAACCTTTCAGACTGACCACAACTCAATCAAATGTTATTGATACACAATGATAGGAAATAAGAGCAATGCAGACAAAGCAAGCAAGATGATTACAACATACATTTCCCAAGTTCTCCTGTGCCCAGAATATACACAAGGTGAGCAGTGCGTCCAGCTGGTACATAAATGCCACTTTGAGGTTCTTTGCTTCACTATCCAATGTCAGCAACCTTGAAGGTCGGTGGCTGATGCCAACTGCCAGTGTGTTGTTTTGGAAACTACTCCGGTTGTAGTCTTTCTCCTCCAATGACTCTTCATCTTTGGGCATCGTTGCTTGGTCTTCCTGTGGTCGTCACACTGTCCATGTTCTGTTTTGTCAGCCGAAGTCCTATTTCATAAACCTATCACATGCGCATGCCTCCATTTAGTCATTTCATTTGAAACCAGAAATCCCAAGGGTTTTTACAAATGGTGACTGTAGCCCTGGAGCCAGGCCTATGACTAGTTTGAAAATAAAGTTTGGATATTTTCAATTTCCCAGGATGTGTATATCCGTTGGCCTCAGACACCCTGTCTTCCCTGAAAGCTGTGAAACTGTAACAAACAGGCTTTTAGAAATCATTTAACCCTTGCCACTCTCCTAAACCATTGTTTTAATGCAATATCTACTTTACCTACAAGCCATTTCCTAAAAGCAAACCTCTACATATCATTTTCTAGCTGTCGCCCTTTACATATCAAATTAAGGATTTTCAGTGCTGTGAGTTAGACACCTTTTGTGACCATTAAATTAATTTCTTTTAATCATAAATACTCCCAATAAAAGCTATTTTCTTCTGCATTGTTCCCTCTTCCTGATACAAAGCCTGGGAGGTCCCAAACTCAGCTAATTGGAAAAGGGCCCGAGTGTCTGAAAATATGAATTTGAGACATACCGCTTATTCAAGACAAATGCTTGTTCCAGTTATTACGTTCTGCGTGCTTAAATTCCTCCTCGAGATTCATTGGAGTATTGCATTCTTCCTTATTCACTGTTCCGACCTGTTTGGATTGTTACACAGCTGTTTAAGAGCCGTAATCTATTTTAGCCCAGATGTGCTTACATGCTAGTGCTGAGTGCAGTGATTTTCATATACATAATGCTTGATCCCGTCACTGAAGAACAGTCTGAGGATAGCACAGTGTGGAGCTGCACCACCTCAGGGGAAGCTGCTAAAAGAATTCTGCTTGAGATCTTCAACTCTGCAGAATGCCTTCTGGATATTGCAGGAGTGCAAAGGAAGGAAATGCATTGTTTTCCTTGCTGCAGGCATGTAGTACACTCTCCTGAATAGACCTGTCAGCTCTGTATGACCCTGCTCCCCACCAATCACTGCAGCTGCATAGAAGTACAAGAAGGTCTCTTTATATCCACCCCCACCTCAACTGGTAGTACAGTGTGTTGTGCCAGCTAGCAGCTGGTGCAAAGTAACACAGTCTGAAAAGCACCTTGAGGTATTTCCAAGTGAAAGCTGCTATATAAACTTGTTTTTATCTTTATCTGATTGCTTTTATATCAGCAGCACGTATTTCTTTTCCCTCTCATAGAGTGGAAAATGTGGTGATGGGTTCCAAGTTCGCAATCTCACATGTGTCGTACATGATGCTTCTCCCTCTGGTACATCCAAACAAGTAGAAGGTGCATTATGTGGAGAGTTGCCTTCTAAAGACAATGCGCTACAACTATCATGTTCAGTGCCTTGCCCAGGTAAGTTCTTCAGAGGCTGTGCACTGGAAAACCTATCTGGTATGGCTTCTTCTTGGGTTAGAGAGCCCCTTATAAATTGAACAGTCACAACTAATGTTGTTGGGATGAAGTTGTAATACCATGTAATTCTATAGATAAGTGAGACTGTTGCTTATTATTTTCTTTAGGGTAACGTTCAGAAGCTGGTGGTCCGGATCAGGTGCCCGTTGTTTTAATACAGAGACACATTACACAAACAGCTTCTGATCTAATCTAAGATGATACAGCAAACCTGTGGTCCACAACATATGAGGAAAGTGAGGCTGACAGTAATAAAATGTACTTCTATGGATCAGCTTCGCACTCAGCTGATTAGCTCTAAATCATTTCAAAGGGGTTTACCTTTTTATTTATGTTTTGAAGATAAGATGCTGTTTCAAGATGACACAAAAGGAACTGTATTATTGGGTTATACCACTGTTATTTTCTGACTCCCTTGGTGGTTGGACACTTTTAAACTCTTCTTTGAGACTGTCTCCCTTTGGTAACAGGATTTTATTCCTTGGCTTGATAGGTGATTGCCATTTGACAGAATGGTCAGAGTGGAGCTCGTGTGAACTAACATGCATTGATGGCAGGAGCTTTGAGACTACTGGTCGCCAGTCTCGATCAAGAGCATTTATCATACAGTCTTTACAAAACCAAGAGAGCTGTCCTGAACAAGTGATAGAGACACGGCCTTGTTCAGGTATTGAAGTGACAGCCCTTTGTTTTACTCTATTTGATGAGAATGTATATGCCTTTTATAGTAATGTGTGGATTACTTGCTATTGATTTGTTTAAATTGTAGGAGGGAAATGTTATAACTATTCATGGAAAACCAGTCTTTGGAGAGATAATGAACGCACTGTGTGGTGTCAGCGTTCAGATGGGATGAATGTGACAGGTATGTTTGCACAGCCCAGCACACAAAGTGAAAGCTTATCTCTAAATGATTACGTTTAGCCTGAGAAGGAAATTTGAAAGAGATTATACAAGTATGTGAAATTTTGGAAGAAAAACATCCCTGTTATCTGATATCTGTACACTAATTAATGTGGAGGACAGCACGGGACAGCGTGCTGCCTAGATAGGCAAACTTGTCGACCATCGACTGTTGGTGGCCTTTAACTGAGATGTGTGGCTCCCGGGGTGTTGTGCCAGGTGCAGGTTGAAATATCACTTCAGTCTTCTTCACGTTAATAGCGAGTCCGAAGTTGTCACAGGCTGATGAAAGTAGGTCCATGGATCGTTGCATGTCAGCCTGTGAGCCTGAGCATAACGCACAGTCATCAACGAAGAGGAAGTCGCGAAGCGCGGCTGTCTGGACGTTGGAGCTCACTCGGAGTCTGTGCAGGTTGAAGATGTCTCCGTCAAAATGGTACCTGATCCCCATACCAGGGTCATCATCTCGGAAGGCGTCCGACAGCATAGCAGAGAATACCATGCTGAAGAGGGTAGGTGCGAGCACACAGCCCTGCTTGATGCCATTTGTGACCGGAAAGGGGTCAGAGCACTCGCAGTCACAGTCAATGCGAGATTAGCAAAAGCTAGTGTGGCCTTCGGCAGACTCTGTAAGTCAGTCTGGGACCGCAAAGGCATCAGAATGTCGACGAAACTGAAGGTTTACCAAGCCATCATCCTTCTGACCCTCCTTGATGCCTGGGACACCTGGACCATTTACCAGTGTCATGCCAAGAAAGTAAACCACATCCACTTGTGCTGTCTGCAAAAGATACTGAAGATCAAGTGGCAGGATGGGATTCCAGACACGGAGGTGCTCAGAAGATCGGCTCTCCCCAGTATCCACACCCTACTGAAACTGGCACAGCTAGGATGGGCTGGCCACCTCTCAAGAATACCTGACCTGTGTCTGCCAAAGAAAGTCTTCTATGGCAGACTGTCAAAGGGCATACACTTTTGCGGCACACCAAAGAAACGGTACAAAGACACCCTGAAGGTGTCCCTAAAGAGTTTCAGCATCGACCCAGAGTCATGGGAGCAAATCACTCGCGACCGTCCATCCTGTATGTCCCAAATCCAGCAGGAGCATTGGTTCTCCTTCCCTTTTTCTTTCTCACTTCTTTTCTCTCTTCTTCTCTCCCCTTCCCCTGCTGGATGCAGCCATCTTCACCCATGGAGGATGAAAGTACAGTACAGTACACTAATTATCTGATATTTGCCCAAAGCACAATTTGGATTGTCAAGTTAGGTCTTTTTTTTTATAATACCATGTGTTTAAATTTAAACAAATAAATTCACCAACTTTCTTCTCACGTCATCAGCACATACATTAGAGAAATGAGATTTTCTGGCTGAGTCATCTCTGTGTTTACCCGGTGGTTCAAACATGCATACAATCTGATTGCAATGGCCTGAGAAGGCTGAGCCTGTGTTTTCATTATCAGTGCAAGTTTTACATAATATAGAGGGAGAAGGAGAGATCATCTGCATGGGAGGGGTATCAGATTCTGCAGTTTTTCTTCTATTCTTTATACCAGCAAGCTTCATTAACTCACCCCTCCACTTTTACTGCTCACACCATTTACAACTTCTCCCTCTATTATTAAAAAGCATACCGCATGGTCAGCAGTTCCAGGCTGAGTGCCTTGGCCAACACACTGTTTTCACAGCCCATTCACAGGTCTTTCCATTCTATAAATGATGAATTAGGAAATACAACCTATACTTTTCCACTCACTCCTATTTATAAAGATATATATTTTAATGTCATTTAAAACATAGCTGTAAAGACAGCTACATAATTAGAGGAGATGATTCACCTTTTAAATATGCACATGAAAGTTCGTAGGGTCCGAAAAGGGAATACTTTACCCATGGAGGGATAAACTATTGGTGTGGGCATCAGGTCATCTGAATTTTTCATCCTGGGTGTGACACCAACTTCCTATGTAGCCCTGGAGAAGTCACTTAATCTCTGCATGGCTCTGTTCCCCATTGGCAAGATAGTGATGATAATAATTCCCGTCTTGTTAAGATAAATTAATTAATATGATGCCTACAGATATTATGCTAATGAGTTCCATCAAAAAGTGTATAAGTAGATAAAATGAGCAATGAAAAACTTCTTAACTTCAGTGAGCTGAGCATTAATCTTTGTCAAAAATGTTGTAACATATCCTTGAAAGTACTTGGTGAAGAGGATTTCTTTTGCAGGAGGTTGTTCAGTTCAGACCAAACCTGCTGAAACCTGGCACTGCAGTCCGGCATGCAGAAAACCGTTCTCCTATTGCACTCAGGTAATTGGATGCTACAGAATGCATTGTAGGAATTAACACCATGAAGTCTATTAAATTATCTTTAACATCTTCAAATCATCTTAGCCCCTCTAAAATAGTTTGGTGTGCACATGACCCCACCTAGAGGCTGTATCAGGAATTAACTTTATAAAAAGGGAGAATTAGGCTTGTCATTGACATGTCAAAGCTCAGTTTAGTAGCCAGTGTTACATTTTTTTAAATTTACTTTTACTTTAGAGCTCTTATCAGTCTCTGGCAGGGTTTAGTTTTCTTTAGCTGCCATTGCCAGTTGACATTCAGATACAGATCAACTATATACGAAATGTTTGTGACTGCTTTAGGTGAGCAGTGGAGGTGGTGGTAAAAGGAATCAAGCATCAAGACTTGATCATATACCTCGCAGATAATCCACCTGATTTCACCATGCCATGTAAGATGTGGATTATGGCAAAGCATCAAAACTTCACAAGGGATGTGGCAATTACCCATAACACAAATGAAAATGAAAGAGTGTGATGTGCAACTCTGGAACAGTGCATGCCATGATGTTTTTTGAGGGGAACAGCCTTGATTTATTTTGTGCTAATGAGAGCCATAGAATGGAGGACAAGCTTAGACATCAACCAATAGCATAGTTTTTCAGGTAGCTGTATGATGGAAAAAGAAGACTGAAGTAAATGGGAATGGTTTGTCTAAGTTTGATCTGAAGCCAACTGCAATAAAAGTGAAAAGTTTTTTATTGACTCCAATAACTTGGGTCAAACCATAATGCCTAACTTTAAACATCTGCGTTTGAAAATGTTTCTATGGATTTTGTTTTTTTCTTTTAAGTTACCAGTAGTTTTTCAGCTGTAACTCCATTTTTTATTGGGTTTTTCCTTTAATTCATTTAGTTTGCCTGAGAACTTAGGCACTAATTCCTTACACACCTGATTCGGTTTGGTGTGGGGTTAACACGGTAAATGTACATGCACTATCTAGCCCATAGCTTCAACATGGTCTGCTTGGAAGTTGTACTGTACCGACAGATTGTACTGTTCATTTTAATATTAAATGCATTTTGTTGCCTAGAGTGGAGTCTGTGGTTGTGAGAGAGGATATACAGAAATAATGAGATCAAATGGTTTCCTGGACTACTGCATGAAGGTACCAGGTTTAGAAGATAAGAAAGCGGATGTCAAAACCATAGCTGGAAAGAATAAACCTGTCAATTCAAAAATGCATGACATTTTCAAAGGATGGTCTATTCAGCTTTTTAATACAGGTAAAAAAAAATTACATTGAATGTGAATGGAATAACTTTTCTTTAAAACATTTCTAAGGAAGGTGTATATTTTGTGGTGCATAAAAACAGAAAGCTGAAACTGAGAGACCACCATGATAGTTTTATGGTCACTTTTGTTCCTTCACTTTAAAATGCATCATAATCATGACATTATGTAGAAAGTAAGAACATTTTGCTTCGACCAAGTAATAATATTTTGCAAAAGCATGACCAGATGAAACTTTTGCAGTTCCTTTGGAATTCTTGTTCCTGCTGTCTTGTGATGTACTTGCACGTCATACTTGGTACGAGGGAGAGATGTATTATATTACTACTACTTTGAAAGATCTTAGAGCAGAAGGCTTCTTAAGGGTTTCATGATGGGGAAAAGTTTGATGTGATGAATCATGTGTTGTCAGGTTTTGAAAGAATATGAAAAAGTTGGTGAATTCAAAGAAAAGATTATGAAAGTTAAACCAGGTAAAAATATAATATATTAGATTACTATCTCTTATAGTGAGGAATCCGGTAACTTTCTCTAGGATTATTCTGAAGTAAGGGTATCACAGTCTGGCACACAGCTGTGCTTGTATAAAACTACTATTCACTTCAAATGAAGAACAAGCGGTTACCAATGTGAATGCTGTTCTTTATCTGAAATAATATAACCAATCATTTAGGGGAATAATATACCTGGAACAACTCAGTTTGGGTCTGTGTAGCTCCCAGATGGGAAACCAGCAGAAATAAGGGCTTTGTAGCAATAAATACTTAATCTTGTCTACCCCAAATTGTTCTCCTCTTCCCCACCTCACAGACTTCACAGTCTTTTAGTGTTTGCTTTTAGTTTTTCCCCACTTTAAACCAATGTTACAAGAACAGTTTCATGTGACGTAATATGTCTTGACTTTAGTGAGACTTTTGACACTGTCTCATTAGCAAGCTAACAAAATACAGGCTAGGAAATATATGCTTAACCAGTAGTCCTCAGTGGCTTAATGTGTAATCATGGGGAAGTAGCAAATGGGGTTCCCCAGGGGTCTGTACTGGCTCTGGTATTGTTTAACATCTCCATTAAATATTTGGATGATGAGACTGAGCACATGCTTAGTAAATTTGCAGATAACACCAAGTTGGGTGGAGTTACAGACACTCTGGTGGGTAGGTCTAGGATCCAGAATGACCTGGATAGATTGGAAGCATGATGTGAAATCAACCAGATGAAATTCAACAAGGACATGTGTAAAGTCCTGCACTTGGGATAGTATAATTGGATGTACAAATACAGACTGGGACAAGACTGGCTAGGTTGCAGTGCTTCAGAGAAGGCCCTGGGGGGTTACAATAGACCGTAAGCTGGATTTGAGCCAACAGTTGCAAACAGTATATATACTGTGTTGTGTTAACAGGAGCGTTATTTGAATATCAAAGGAAGTGATTCTTCTGCTCTATTCAGCACCGTTGAGGCCTTACCTGGAGTACCATGTCCAGTTTTGGGTCTCACACTTCAAGAAGGACATAGATAGATTATAAAGAGCTCACCAAGAGTGCCAAAAATCATTAGAGGGCTGGGAAGCATGAGTTATGGTGAGGAAAGGATGAAACAGTTAGGGTTATTTAGTCTGAAGATAAGAAGGCTGAGATCTGATAACAGTTTTCAAGTATTTGAAGGGTGATTATAGAGAGGAAGAAGATGGATGAGCTTTTCTCTGTGGCCAGAGGCGGCAGGACTAAGAGCAATAGCCTCAAGATGCAGCAAAGGAAATTCAGGCTGGAGATTAGGAGGAACTTGCTGACTATGAGGGTGATTAAGCATTGGAACAGGCTACCTAGTGAAGTTATGGAATCTCCATCCTTGGAAATTTTCACGAGTGGGTTGGACAGATCCTTGGCTGGGATGGTTTAGTCAGGGATGATCCTGCCTTGAGCAGGGGGCTGAACTAGATGACCTTGCAAGTCCTTTCCAGCCCTATTTTCTTATAATCCGACAAACAGTAAAGATGCAACAGTAAAATGGATATTTTGATAGATATTTCAAGTTTCCCACAGTGAAATTGACTGTTTCCTAGCCACTAAAATCCCCGGAGTGATCGCTTCTGGTCATTGTGGTATATTGCACTTCTTGTGTTTCCAATTAGTTTGTGATGATTACACAAGTCTGGAAAAATGTATTGAAAGATTATATTATGATATATGAGGCAAAACTAAGGCTGCCTCAGTGTCTTGATCCCTATGATTAAGATCTCAGCTTTAATGTTATATTAACATGTATGACTTCCCTTTAATAGGTATCCTCTCTACAGAGTATATCTGATCTAACAGGACTTATCCAAAGGCTGTTAAACTTAATGGGCTTAAGATCAGACCCATCATCCAAAAGTATATATAATATACACCAAGAATTATGTCAGTTTGGGCTTAAATGCCTTTGACACACTACAGCCTCTTCTAAGTTATTCTTTTCCAGTGTCAGGTCTCCAGCCCATCATTTTTCATGGATGTGGACCTACATGGCCTTTCCTGAAGGCCAGCATTTAGGGCTGCAATCCCTCAATAGCTGTATCAGGCTCAACCTCAGCTCAAGTGTTGGACTTTCTGGCTGTGTCCAGACAAACGCTGACGTTTGTTTCTTCCAGGACAAGAAGCAGTGGCACAGCTAGTACCCAGGGAACACCCATGCCACACACCCTCTGGTCTGTGGCAGGATACCCCAGATGGGGTAGGGGAGGCTGGGGCCTGCCACTGCGTTGGCCCCAACAGCCTTACCTGGGGTCCTTAGGGAGCTGCAGTTTTGGCGTTTCTGCAGCTGCTGGCCGGCAGCCAGCACATGGTTCAGGTGGGCCAGGCTCTGGCTTTGGGTGGTACATGCTGCTGCCATGTTCACAGCCCTGCTTTTTTTCTGCATGAGCTTTTTGACCCCAGGATCTCCCAGGGTCAACTCCCCCCCCCCCCCCCCCCCGCAAGGTAGCAGTGTGGGAAACGCATCAATGTGCAAGATTTGGTGCCACAGATACATACGGCATGGCCGTGCTCCTCTGAACATGGCCTCTGTGTTCTCTCTGGGACAGTCATAGAATGAAAGAGTAACCAGCTAGTTTTCATAAAGCACAGTATTATTTTAACACTAAATCGGTACATAGAAAAGATATTGTAAAACAATAAATGAATGGCCTGGTATGCTACGTGTGTGAGCTACCTAGCAACCATATATAGGATCCTGCTAAGTACCAACACATCTGTCTTCCAATCTGTGTCTCTGTACATAATCTCAGTTCCAGCTTGAGGATCTCTGTTTAGCATATAAAAAATTAAATTTTATCACAACTTTAAAAGTTTGATGTTTGTTTCCCAAAGGTGTTTTGTATAAGCACACTGATCTGCTTTTGGCCTGATAAAGAATGTCTTGCTTTCAGAAGCTTGTCTAACTCTATCCCAACTATGCAATTGGTCCAATAAAAGACATGACACTAAGAAAGCTTTGCTTCTTGTAAAATTCCTGGACCATTACAGCTGCAAAATCCCTCTAACACTACTATGTACATTTTGTTAATACCACACCATGGGTGATCTAATTCATGTAAAAAGATGTTCCTCAGGTAAAGATGGGCTTAAATAAAAATGCATACAATATAAGACCAAATTCTCTCTTGCATTTACACAGGAGACAAACAGCAGAAGCTTATTAATCAGGCAAAGAATGGTACTTCCTTCTACTTGCCTCCATTGCTCCTGTTGAAAAGAGTTCCTGAGCACCACTCTTCTGATGATTAAAGATCTTTTCAGATTTCTACTCTAACTGATTTGTGGAAAATTTAGACCCGTTTATTCACAAGCCAACATTTGCTTGTTTATTAAATAGCTCTTTACCCACCCTAGTGTTTAACCCTTCTTCCTTTCCCCCTGCCAGTAGGTCTCAGAGAGTGGTTATATTGATCCTAGGCTTGCCTTTCCATAGGTTAAACATGGTGAGCTCTTTGAGATAGTCTGATATTACTTGGGTCAGCTCTCCACCAAACTGAATTTGTCTGAGCTGCCATTGTTTCTCTTCACTACTGTTGCTCAAATACCTCATACACCTATTTTCTCCTCTATGGGCAGTGAATTCCCTGGTTTGACTGTAGCTCCCACGATGTACTGCTGCAGCTCAACCACAAGAAAGACAGCAACATGGTTTTATCTAGGACAACTGGCCTGAAGTGTAACATTTTATCTTGCTGTTTCATCAGAAAAATCATAAACTTCTGATTTTCCATCAGAAAATTTTAATTTTGCAGAAACTGCATAAAAATTCTCAGCCAGTTTGTCTCCTTTTAATGTCCATTTCCCATTAATATTGTTCCTACATGCTACACAACAACTATGCAATTGTTATTGCTATATATAGACTCATTAACATGTGAATAAAATAAAACTTAATGACTGATTTGTAAAGACTCCTTTCCCTTTTTGCCCTTCCACTTTCAATAGATGGCAGACTTAAAATATGGGTGTATGGAGTATCAGCTGGTGGTTTTCTCATCTTGATTTTGGGGATTTTTACATCCTATCTTGTTTGGTAAGTACTCTGTAAAGAATCATGCTTATTTGTGTCCAAATAGTCTAAAAAGCATGATAGAGCCAAATGCATCACAGTCAAAATCATTTAGATAAATATAGGCAATGATACTCAACTAAAAATGAGTATAGGCAGAATCAAATTTAGTCCATTGTATTACAGTAGTTTGGTCCATGTACTAAAACAGAGGTTGGCAGCCTGCAGGCCGGATCCTGCCTATGGATCCATCTGATCCAGCCTGTAGATATGGAGCTTCAGCAGTAGTCCCTTTCCCATGCCACCATGGAGAAAAATAGTGGCAGTGGATGCCTTCCCTGTGCTGTCCCAAGAAGCAGCAGCGCTGAGTCCCAGTGCCCACTATTCTCTAACGTGAACTGGGTCTTTCTATCCTGCAGCCTAAAAAGGTTGTCAACCACTGTATTAGAGCAATTTAGATTTCACTAGAATGTATGTTCTGTCCCAGTGTGATCACTGACGTGTACCATGGCTCTGTTTGATAGGGACAGACTTATTTTATGACTATGAATAACGTTTATATGTATGCAGACTTCTTCTGCTGGGGTCCCAAAGTGCTCCCAAGCCACTATTCTCTTTATATTCCATATTATATAGCTGATTTATATGCATTATTGCAGCAGGGAACTTTTATCTTTCAGGCTATTATTAGAGAGAACTGGATAGAAGCATGGGCACTTAAAGTTAGCAATTTTTTTATTATATCTAAAAAAGGCAAAATTAAGACTCATTACTTGTTCCTGGAAATACAGGGCAGACAAAGCTACTCTTACATTTCTAGGATAGCCAGGGCACCAGAGGAGAATGTATTATCCCTTGGGAGCCACATTGCTTTCACAAGTCTGAGCAGTGCCCAACCTACTCTTATCTATAGCACAGAATTGGGGAGCCCTAACACCTTCCTGAATATTCTGCTATGACCATTGTAGAAAATATCTCATAAATATTTGTCTTGTTCTGCTTTCTGCTATAGGCACATATACTGTATATTAAAATAAGATATATGAATGTTGGTTAGCAATTTTTTTTCCAACTACTTATTTTTCAAAGTCATAACTACCCATTATTCATTACCTCAAAATTTAAGTATCTAGTTTCTTGGGAATATGATATAATCTTATGGCATCCTTTGAAGAATAAGATGGAAAAGATGTGCTTCTTCGTAACAATAAATAATTCTCCCTTTGTGCAATTCAAGGAGAAGAAAGAAATGAGAATATCTGAGATCAAGGCAAAATGGTTTCCATATTGATGTGGTTCAGTTTTTCTGTCTGGCGTAGTCTCTCTCTAGTGTTTTTTATTTATCTACTGATGGTCAAGAATAAAGATAATTAGATAGATACTAGGGCCATGCGAAGCTTCAGTCCCTGATTTGATTCGGGGAAGATTTGACCTAATTCAGTAGCCAAATTTCTGAATCTGAATCAAATCAGAGGACCCGTTAATTTCTTTGAATTGAATTGGAACCCTCTGAATCGATTCAGAGACATTTGGAAAGGTTTGGAGATTTGGACTTAGAGACAGCTTTAAATGTTTTTTCTACATACCTTTATGTAACAGGGACATGCGAATGCTGCGATGCTGGGCAGAATGGAGCGTCCCACAGAAGCACGGGGGGCTCCCCAGCACTCTCAACAGCAGGCCTGGCAGTGGACCAGAAGTACTTCCGGTCCACTTCCGGGTCTCCTGGGAGCACGCGGGCCCCCTATCCCCCGTCTCGGTGACTGGTGCCTCATGGGTTCCCCTGTGGCTGATCACTGAGCCAGGGAGGCATGGGGTTGGGGGCCCTAGCACACTCCCCGGCAGATCCTGGTAATTCCAGTCCACTTCTGGGCTCGCCACCGAGCACATGGAGGGTCCCCGTGTAGTCCTATGGGATGGTCCATGTGCCTCAGCATCGCAGCAATCACAAGCCATGCCTGCTACCTCAAGGTATGTAGAAAAAACTTTTAAAGCTGTGTCTGTGTCTGAATCGCTGCTTCTCTAAATCAGCATTGAATCTTCAGATTCGGCCAAATCGAATCAGGGACAGTGATCTGAATCAACAAATCGAATCACTGTCTCTGATTCAGGCTGAATCCAAATCAAATAGGGCCCACTTCACACACTCCTAGTAGATGCACCTTAATTTGCATTCCTACCTCACACAATGATTCCCTGTGGGGATACAGCTCCATACTTGCTTTCTTAAATGTATCCATGGTATTGTCAGTGTTACGTAATTTTCAAATGGAAATAGGTAGAATGTAAAGTTGTTTAAAGTTGCACTTGATACGTTGACTTGCATTTGTTTTCAAAAGATTGTTTTCATTTTCCTTGCAGCAAGAAACCAAAACAGCATCACAGTCCTCCTCCACAACAGAAACCCCTGACTTTAGCATACGATGGAGACATAGACATGTAACAAAAAAATCCAAATTTAGACATCAGCTGCCTTAACTGCTTTCTCTTTTGTAACTTTCAGACTTCTCAGTTTTTTTGAGGAATCTCTTGATGTGTAATATATTGGGCAGAATATAAATATTGCAAATTTAGCATTTTGCCTTTGGTTTATTTTAAAAAATGGAGTCAATGACTTTCAGATTTGTGAAATCTCTCCCAAGGAACTGGAAAATTCATTTCTTCCTGTTTTGACAATGGGAATAATAATAAAAAAAGAAATTCTACAGACTTCAGTAAGCGTTAACTAAGGAAAGCATGACAATCCTGCAGAAAATGTGACATTCACTGTAAATGACAAGTTTGACACTGCATCAGTATGCACTATATTAGTGCAGGATTCTTTACTCTTCACGTATTTCAACAATGAGTTTTCTAGTGTTTACATTTGGTTCAAAAGACTTTAAAGCTGGATCATGTATTTTGAGAACTGCAAAGATGAATGTGTTGAAATATCTGGAATTCTCTGGGTTTTTAAAAGTTAATGCCTTCTTGTCCTGTTTTCTATCCTGGAATATGATTTTGCTTCATTTCCATCAATGGGACAGAATAAGGATTGTTTAAATTTTCGAGCACATGAAGTGGCATAGATGGTTTATAATTAAATATGTTTTTTAAAGAAATGAGTAGACAGATGTTTTGATGAATGGCTAGAAGACTTGATTATTTTAAAATAAAGTATTTTAAATTAACTTAAACCATGTAGATACATTTTGGCCATTTTAAATTGTTATTCAGTTTAATTAATACAAACTCTCCTTTTGTATTTAAATTTTCTTATCTGAAATATTTATATATTCTTTTTTTGAATTTAATTATCTGACCTCATTTAATATACATCTAACACAAATGCTGTTTGTAGAAGGTCTTGTTTTTTTAATGTTTAAAAACACTGGACAGTGACATATTCTAAACATCTGGGAACATTTGAAGAAGATAAGTGTTTGTAATAGTATGTGTAGCAAGTAAGAAAGTGCCATCTTGTGGTATTGACATGTACTCATAAGCAAATAAAATACTAAACAGAGCAAGAATATTGCTGCTGGTATTTTCAATTAAATGTGTCTTAAAGACTCATTTTACTTTGCCTCAAAATTTTTAAGCCCTGATTATTTTAAGTGATCTTCCTTTTCTTATGCTGTAGAGATTAACAGGGAAAATATTGCAGAGAAAAAAAAGTTTGGAAAGTAACTGCAGATCTATACAGCAAAATATTGTAGTAAACTAGAAAACAGTAACACAGCTCTACAGTTTATTCCAATAATGTTTAGACTAGAACACATTTCATAATGAATTACTTCATACAATGCTTTTTGATATTTGACTACTTCATTTTTGAATCATTAAGAGAATAATAAAGTGACAAATTCTGTACTGCTACATATTTTCAAGTTTGTTACATTTCAGCCTATAACTGGTCACATTCTGCCAACTAGAGTGGAAAATGAAGATTTCTTCATCCATGGAAAGTGTTGATAAATACAAGAAACTTGATTTTCAATTTAATTTGCTTAAAAAGAATGGTCAAAAATTAGAAACCCAATATTTCCAGCTGAAAACTGGGATATTTAACTGGGATATTAAATATTTTGGTTCATCCTGTTGTGGTAACTCATGTGAATTATGGTTTAGGTTCATTGTGTTTCCTTAGCCAGAGTATATCATACACCATGGGTTTCATTATCACTCAAATATTGTAGTGCATCATGGGAGTCACATGGCCTTAGTTCATCATAGAAATTGTTGTCTTCTTATAGGAGACCAGTAGTGGAGAATGAGGGTGTGATAGGCATGAACTACAATTTCCCATGGGGTAAAGCAGGAGCTTTTCTTAAACAAATTGCCTTGGCTTTGGGAAACTTTCAGCCTTTACAAGAAAACAAAAGTTGAAAACACAACAAATAGTTTGGACAGAAATTTTGGACCAACTTTACTACTACTGTCTTCCATACTAGTGCAGAGGTTGAAAACAGACTCCATTACTTGGAAATTAATTATTATTTACAGAAGAATAGTATTCTTCCAATCTTTTCCACCATTGCTGAGTCTTCCCCTGGAGTGGAGGATCTAGTTTTGGGCAACACACAACTTAGATGTCGATAAACTGAAGAATCCAGAAGAGTGCAACAAAAATGATTAGAGGCCTGGGAAACATGAAATGTGAGGATAGGTTGAAAGAATTGGGGTTATTTAGTCTAGAGAAAAGAAGACCAACAGGTGATTTGGATAACAGTCTTTAAATACAAAAAAGGCTGTTATAAAGAGGATGGCAGTCCTATGTTCTCTTTATCTCCAGGGGACAGGGCAAGAAGTATTGTAGATTGTAACAAAATGGATTTTATTTAGCTAATAAGAAGAGCTTTCTACCTATGAGAATGATTAGGCAGTATATATAGACTATATAGAGCAGTGGTGCTCAAGCTTTTGGCCTCATGGGCTGAGTGAGTGGTGCACGGCCAGTACAGTCCAGATTAGGTCCCAAATTAGTCAATCTGGCATGCAGGGCTACACTGTCTGGTTCATAGGGCTCTCCACAGGTGCAGAAATTTGGCAGCAGGGGAGCAGCAATTAATACTGCCACTGCTTCCCTCCACCAAATTTTTGGACACGGGGGGGACACTGCAGGCCTAATTATATGGCTCCTGAAGCAAAATATGGCCCACAGACCAGGGGTAAGCAGCCCTCATATAGAAGGATTGTGGAATATCCATCACTGGAAGTTTTTAAGTGTAGACAGATATTTGTCTGGGATGGTAAAGGGCAGATCTGGAGGTTAGGGTGCAGCGGTGCTGCTGCACCCACCCTTTGATTCCTGTTCTACCCAGAAGGGGCAGTGGCATTTCTATTCAGTGGGTCAGTGGGTTTAATGGCTCATTATAATCTACCTTATTCCTGCTTATCTCTCTTCACTCCACAGGTGTTAACAGACCTGTCTTGTTTTTAATGGTCTTGCTGTTCTACTAATCAAGCTACCTTATGTTTTGCAATTCTGCTATCTGTTAGTCATTCTTGGTAATGTCTCTCCTATTTCACTGCCTTGCAGACTGATTTTAGCTCTAGCTCATATCTGGTGTAACTATAATGAATACAGACTGAAAATAATATATTTTTACTGTTTTTGTTTAGTTTGTTGCTTTTTTAAACTTTATATATAATCTTGTAATTAGTGCACATTCCAAAAAAAGTTATATTTGGTTTTCACTTCATCTTAAAGTGAATAATATAGTGCTAGGTCCTAGCATATTAGTAAGGCTGCTAGCTTCTCTTTTAGATGGAGAAAAAGAGGTGTTCTGTTATGCGATAAAGTACTACACCCCTTTCCAAAATCCTAGATCCACCCCTGGGGGTAGTTGAATGGAAATACTAATCCCAGATCTTACAATAGTTATTTGGATGGATATAGTGTGCATAGAATGGCTCTTAGTGGAGAGTGAGAGAACAAACATAATTAAATGAGCTCCTGAGAAGTAAGCAGAGTGGGAAATTAAGTGTTAAAAAAGTAATAGCCACAAAACAGTCATTGCCCTTGCAATGAGCTGGCAGTAACTAGCCCAGTTCTTAAACATGCTATTTTACGGGAGTGATCAATGACCTCCAGTGAATATGCTGTTTTTCAATTATAGGTCCTTGTTTTTCAACCACAAATAGTAGCACCCTCTGAAGATGATCATTGTATTTATTGCAGTGGATGAAATGTTAACACAGAAAGGCAAGCTATAGATAGGAGAGATTAATTGTAATTGTTGATTTTTCCCTCAGTTCACTTGTATTGTATGAGCTGGTCCAGGCAACCCATGGATCAGAGAAAGAACCCATGATGCCCATACTGTATATAGTAAACCGATCAGTGCAGAAAATTGCTTTGGAGACAGGACTTCCCTAACTGTATACACTGTAGGTATTCATGAGGTTTGTAACCAATTAACTCCTTATGTGTCTTTGCTGCAGCAGTGCAACTTAAGTCATTGCCTGCAAAGACAAGCACAAATGAAATAAATCATTCTCATGGAAATAACAAGGTTGCTAATATTACATTGATTTATAAATGTTGAGCCCTGATAGGATTTAGGGTGATCGTGTAGCCTGAGTTCTGGCATAACAAATTAATGGATGAATGTGTCTAGTTCAGGGGTGGGCCTGCAGGCTAGATTCAGCCTGCCAGTTGATTAGATCTGGCCCAAGGCTGGCTCTGCTGCACTCCACATGTGGCTGACCCCTGCCACGGGCAGCCAAAGCAGTGCTCCTGCCCATTCCTGGCCCCAGCCAAATATGCACAGCTTCCAGTGAGGCTGCTTCCAGTGTGCAGGCAGCCAAGTGGGTGGAAGGTGGCAGGAGCTGTAGCCAGTGCTGACCCAGCCTGCAACAACTCATAAAAACTCTCTATGTGGCTTTTGGGCCCAAATAATTGTCCATCCCTGGTCTACTTCAATAATTTGTGGTTGGATAAATCTGTGAAGTTAGATTGTGGCCTCATTGCCATAGAAAGTTGTTGATGCCAAGAACTTGAGTGAAAAGAATTGCACATAAGGGCATGAACATATATGTTAGAGACCTTTCAAAGAGGCAGCAGCTTACGTTCTAATTGCTATGTGTTAACGAGCTGAGAGCAATTCAAATGTTGCAAAACTTGATCTAGTTTTAACCTCGGATGACATACACATAACAATAAAACATAATAACTGCTGCCCTTTCTAAAAGTGTATCTTAAATGGGCATCAAGAGTGCATTCAGAGTTACCATAAGTAATAATAAAAGTTTTGGAAAGAATATTAAATCTCATGTTTACGGATTAAACAATTCCCAAAATCAGACCTATCTAATGTCAGTGGTAGAATACTTCCACCTAAGGTGAGAGTCTCCTGAAGCACCTAGTGTTGGCCACCTTTGAAGACAGGATATGAAATAGATGGACCTTAATTCTTTTCCACTGTGGCATTTCCTGTATCTCTGACTAGAGTGTGCCTCTAAGGTCTGGCAACACACATTCAATTTAAGATGTGATACAC